CTCCTCCTTCTCTGAGATCCAGGCGCTCCCTTCGTATCTTAGAGCAGAAAGCCAAACAGAGACAGAGAGTTTCCTTTGCCGGCCACCATAAGCAGTAAGGAGGGGTTTGGAAGCTAGGAAGTACGACAAGGGGTGGTGGAGTGGGCACTCTGAGCAACATCTTGAGGCTGAGGGAGCATAGTTCATGGTCTCTCTGTGTATTCTGTTGATTTAAATAAAAGAGCTGGAAGAAGCTCTCTAGTCCTGACACTGGAGAAGGTTCTGTGATGTGTACCACCGTTATCTGAGATCAGGTTGAGAGCGGGTCTCCTCGATGGTGTTGCCTAGGTTTGGAATCCCCCTCTTTGAGAGCTGCTCCTGGTTCCATCACTAACTTCCTTCCAAAAGATGCTGAAGGGTATCATTTTATGTTAGGCTTTTCACAAGGATCAGATTCCTTTTCCCCACCTCTATAGTCATTGCTTCCTGTTTAAAATGCCGTTGTACTACTTTCATTGTGTGGTGCTTTTTATGGCAGTGTTTGTAATTCATGTTGATATGTTTATTATCCTTTTTAACTTCTTCCATATGATACTTTGGGGGCCTATTGGCCAAAACATGCCATAAAAGAATAAAGAATAACATTAACATTAGTGAGTCTCATAGAGGCAAAAATGACACCATGAAAGATTGATGACAGCCTTGCCCCGGTGTAGGGAGCGAGAGCCCAAAGCCCAAAACCCTGCAAACTTAAAATTCTAACTTTCCAAACCAAAATGCAAACAGAAATGCAGTTATCCTTTGTATTTTGCAGTGCTCTGAATTTCGAGAGGCAATTCTCCACCACTACCACCCCCCAAAAATGTGTACAAATGTATTTGGGAAAAGCACACACAAAAATGACATTAAAGTTAGTGCAAATTGCATGCAATCATGCATTAAATCAGGAAAAAATGTTTGCACAAATGCATTTATTAGGCAAATTTGCACAGGAAAAATACGTGAATTAGGAGAAATGGTCATGAAAATGCATTCACATTTCTGTGTTTGCTTTTTTAAAAAAAAAATCACAAACTGATACAGAAATAAAACAAACTGAAGATAAGGCTGGAAAAATGAGAAAGCGAGAAACCAAAATGGGCAAATTTGTCTACTCTTCCTGTGCTTTCGTTCAGTCAGTAGAAACAGGAATATCTGGATCTCTTTTTCTCGTGCACTGATGGGAGAATAGAGGCCGACAAAAGAGGAAGGCAGGCTTGTCAGAACTGCTCCCAATCCTTCTGGGAGGCAGCATGTTTTGAATTATTGCCGCTTAAAAGACAGAAATGCTACAGCATCTGTGGAAGCAGAATCCCCAGAGGGACAGCTGATCCTTTCCTTGCCCAGGCTGTATATTGCCTGTGAGACCCCCAAAAGGGAAATGCATAAACTGCCAGTATCCCCTATTGGTATGAGTTGTGTTGCCTTTCCATCTTCCCTCCTGTGGAACAATGTAAACCTCTCCTTACTTTCCTATTTTTAAAAGGCGCAAGGTGACTTTTCATCAGCATTTCCCCTGGCAACCAACATACATGGAAAACCAGCTTTCTAAAGGCATGGTTCATTGCCTCGGCCCTCGTACATTCCACCAGCAAAGATGAAAGAAAGCAGCTTGTTAGGCTTAGGGTGGTGGAGCAGCAAAACGCGTCTGGATTTCCATCGCTATAGGACTGAAGGGAAAGGGGGAAACAAACATGTGGCCCTCCAGATGTTGCTGGACTCAGCCCCAGCCACAAACTTCAGGGGTGGGTGGGAGCTGCAGTGAAGCAACATGTAGAGGACTGCAGGTACCCTGGCCATTACCATCTTGTGGGATAGGGAAAGGGGCAGGGAGCAAAAATTAAGTTTTGTCAGATCTGCACAAGTTAGCATCATGAGAACATAAGAAGAACCCAATGGTCCATCAAGCCCACCATCCTGTTCTCACAGCGGCCAAACAGATGTATATGAGAGGCCCTAAAGCAGAAGGACCTCTTTGAGTGCAATATCCATCTCCCCACTTGCAGACCCCTCCCAAGTCTCCCTATTTTCCAGGGGCAGTCTCAGATTTACAGAAGCTGTCTCGGTTTTCGATTTGATTCCAGAATGTCCCGCTTTTCCTTAAGATGTCCTTATTTTCATTGGACAAATGTTGGAGGCTATGGTAGGATGTCCCTATTTTCAAAGGAGAAATGTTGGAAGGTATGGCGAACCGGAAACTGTTCTTAAACTGAGACACCACTTTAGCTAATGGGGCCTCCCGCTGCCACCGTGCTGCCACCACACAATTTCTGTTCTCATCCTGAAGCAAAGTTCTTAACCCGAGATAATATTTCTGGGTTCGCAGAGTCTGTAACCTGAAGTGTCTGTAACCTGAAGCATCTGTAACCCGAGGTACCACGGTATAGGGAAGTTTTTTAATGTTCAATGTTTTATTGTGGTTTTATATATGTGGGAAGCTGCCCAGAGTGGCTGGGACAATCCAGTCAGATGTGTGGGGTATTATTATTATTATTATTATTATTATTATTATTATTATTTAGGATGCCCCTATTTCCATCAGAGAAATGTTGGAGGGTATGCATCTGTGATTCCCAGCAACTTCTATCCAGAGGCATACTTTCTCTGACAGTGGAGGCAAAACAGCCGTTGTGGCCAGTAGCCAATGCTAGTTTCACCCTTCACCAATTTTTGACCTGCAATAACACAACTTTTCAAGTTTCAAATACAGACACCAGTCAGAGAAGCGGGCAGCAAGATGATTTGGCTCTTAGTGTTAGCACTGTTTCTACCAGCTGTACCCCCTTCCCTGGCTGCTGCCTGGATAACATTTCTTAAGTAAAAAGTTGGCAGTGTAGTAGAGGTAGAAGATAGACATCATGGCTAGTAGCTGAACACAGTTGTGTTTGGAGACAGGGAAAGAGGACACGAGTCATATGTCGCAGGATCAACGCAACTCCAGGGTCAGGCGGCAAGCTTTTGGAATGACATCTGTTATTGGAATAGCCATTGCCAATCAGAGTAGAGAACCCTGGACTCAATGAACAAAAAGTGAGATCTGGATGAAGAAGGTTTCCGGTGTTTCCAAAGTCTTTGAGTCTCAGGTGCTTGGCGGCAGGGCTGAGTGCAATTCCCCTATCCCACGGTGGGCAACTTTTCATACAAAGTGGGCCGCAAGAGTACTTTGACATGGAACTGTCAGGCCGCACACTGCCTTGTGCATGGGGTGGGGGAGTGGGGACAAAATTTCACACTCTCACACACACATCGCTCACACTGCCTTCCCAAAGATGGCTGAGCAAGGCACTGAGCTTTGGGAAGGAAGAGCAAACCTCTGGCAGGGTCTTAGAGCCTTCCCAAAGCTGGGAAAGTGCTAACTAGGCTTTGGGAAGGAGGACAGTGGACTCTAGGGCCATGTCAGAGCCCTCCCACCTCTTTCCCAAAGCCCAGTGCCTCACTTACCTGGCTTTGGAAGGTAGCACAAGGACTGGGGAGTGTTAAATGCTTCTGAGGGCCATGCGTTGGACCATACTGCCCCTCCCTGTTGCCTTATTGTTCTGTGTGTTTGATACATCCTACATGTGCATGCCTCTGGAATTCCCATTTACTTAGGAGAATCTCTAGAATTAATTATGCCATTGGATCATGCACAATTTGCCACAGCGTTCAAGCCCTCGTAATAAAGGAATGTGATATTGCAATGATTTCCTGGTGCACACATTCAACAAAAAAATGCATAGGCCAGTTTAAATGTGCACCGGCTGCGCATCACAGCCCACACAGTTGTAGCTTCCTGCTGCAAGACGCCCCTTTTCTGTAGTGAAGTTCACAACATAATAACACAGACTGGCAACTGCTTGACCTGTCACAGATAAGACCAGCTGGCTGTCCAGTCCTGAAAAATTGTACTTCAGAAAACCGAGCTTTACAAACATATATAATCCAGGGAGAGGATAGAGACATAACTGTCTAGCCATGTAACAAATGCAGCAAAGGTAACAATTGTAAGGGCCACTACTGAGATCTCAATAACCTCCGAGGAAACATTCACTCCCTAACAATCGCTTCAAGTTGTGAGTAGCCTCAGGAGTGCAGGGCATCGCTGTCTTTGAGACTGCAGATATATTATCTCTGCAACAAGAGAGCTGAGGAGTCAGAGGTGGAGGCTTTAGGAACCAATCAACTGATAACTGGACACTGTGTGCTGAGCACCACTTCAGATGATGACATTGCAATCACCTGCATGTGTTAGGAGGACTAGTAGTGGCCTGTTAGGTGACGTAGAGCTATAGAGCTGCCTTCCCAAATCTAGCAACACTGCAGCTTACTTGGAGAGGACTGGGGTAGGGCAAGGGGGCACCAAGGTCAGAGCTGTGCAGACGCACTGGTGGAGCCAATGGTGGGCTTCCACCTGTGCATCCATGCAGCTGCAACCTTGCTGCTGCTCTGCCCTGTCCAGGTAAGCTGCTGTGACCAAAACTGCTAGTACACTAGAACTCGGGGACAGTCAGTGAAGCTGAATGTTGGAAGATTCAAGAATTTGCTCCCACAAAAGGGAATGGTGGCCACCAACCAGGATGGCTTCAAAAGAAGATAAGACAAAATAGGTATAGAGTTGATGGAAGATAATGCTTCCAATGGCTACTACCTCTGGGTAGCTTGCAGGTTTCTCATGGGCATCTGGTTGCCCTGTGAGACTAGGATGCTGGACTAAATGGACAACTGGCCTGATCCAGTGGGTTCTACTTATGTTCCACTGCCATATGCTGTAGCTGACCCCACACACTCTTTCCTCACTCTGTAACCCTTTACCGATATTAAGAGCACATAGAATGAATGTGTGCAGGCAAGGTGTGGGGATGGTGGTATTGTAGTATCAGGCTCTGCTCCTCCTCTCTTGCAAGACCATGACAGCTGGTCCATAGAACTGAACCACAGAATAGTAGAGTTGGAAAGGACCCTGACGATCTAGTCTGACTCTCTGCAATGCAGGAATATGCAGCTGGCCCATATGGGGATTGAACCAATGACCTTGGCATTATCAGCACCATGCTCTAATCAACTGAGCTAACTGAATTATGGTGCTGGAGGAGACTCTTGAGAGTCCCATGGACTGCAAGAAGATCAAACCTATCCATTCTGAAGGAAATCAGTCCTGAGTGCTCCCAGGAAGGACAGATCCTGAAGCTGAGGCTCCAATACTTTGGCCACCTCATGAGAAGAGAAGACTCCCTGGAAAAGACCCTGATGTTGGGAAAGATGGAGGGCACAAGGAGAAGGTGACAACAGAGGACGAGATGGTTGGACAGTGTCCTTGAAGCTACTAATATGAGTTTGACCAAACTGTGGGAGGCAGTGGAAGACAGGAGTGCCTGGCGTGCTCTGGTCCATGGGGTCACGAAGAGTCGGACACAACTAAACAACTAAACAACAACTGCCTTGGAAAACTCCCTAACTACAGAGGTTTTATTTTCTGATGCAACCCCACATTAGCATGTGCATTGTCCTCCGAGTATATATTGGATCTTCCCTGTCAGATCAGGAAAGCTGCTTTTGCAAGGTTTTCAACTGTATGTAAAGTTTTCTCGTAATGTACATTTGTAGGCTTGCTCCAGGCACTTAGCATTGCAGCACCTAACCTTTGAAAGTCTCTCCTCTTAAATATTATTATTATTATTCAGGTAGGCAGCCGTGTTGGTCTGATGCAGTCAAAATACATATATATAAATAAAATAAAAATGTCCAGTAGCACCTTAGAGACCAACTAAGTTTGTTCTTGGTATAAGCTTTTGTGTGCATGCACACTTCTTCAGATACACGGGCATGCACATGAAAGCTTATACCAAGAACTAACTTAACTGGTCTCGAAGTGCTACTGGATAATTTTTTTATTTTTTAAATATTTTGATTATTATTATTATTGGGCAGGTTCCATCTCTGTTGTCTTTTTGGCACCTATTCAAGACTTTCCTCTTCCAACATGCCTTTTCAGTAGATATCACTCCCGGTATTTATCTGTACTGGAATTGTTTTAAAGACATTTTAAAGAAGTTTGAATTGTTTTGCTATTTGCCATCTTGGGTTCCTTTGGGAGGAAGGGCAGGATATTATTATTTCTTTAAAGGTCAGTTTGAGATGATGATTATTTGTGGAAAGTCACTAATTAGTGAAATAAATGATGGCGGTGGTGATGATGAAATAAACTACAATGCAAGAACAAGCCAAGAATGCAGAGTTGATCTAATCAAATCAGCTTCCCACAATGGCAACCCTGAATAAGGAGAGAGAGAGAGAGAGAGAGAGAGAGAGAGAGAGAGAGAGTTCAGCATCTAATAATTATTCAGGGGAGCATTGCGAGGTGGTTCCTGGATAGAGGACAAAAGATAAGTGGGAAGAGGACACCCAAAAAGCGATAAGGAAGATGGCATTCAAAATGCAAGGCCAAAGGAAGGAGTGAAGACGTGAGGCAAGACACCAGGAAAGACAATTGAGTCCCAGGGACGTGACAGGAATGTACAGCGGGAGAAATTATAGAGGCTTCCCCCCCTCTCTGTTCCAGATCAGCAGTGTGAAAGATTACACTGTTTGTCTCCTAGCATGTTAAAGAAAATCCTTCAAGAGACGTCTACTGGGAGGAGGGTTCAGGGATAAGGGTGGAGAGAATATTCAAGTGGAAGAAATGAGAAAGATGACGATGAAGAGAAGGCGCTCTCTGGACATGAGATACCTATCAGGATTTATAAACAGAGCACAGACTTTCGGATGCTGTTAGAAATAAGAGGTTATCATCCATCCAAAGGGAGCTAGCGGATTCCTCAAAGAAACAGCCTCCTCTGTGTTTCTCTTGAGGTAAATGATTGGTTCACAGCAAGTATTTGCTTTAAATACATCTTTCACACCAACCCACACACCTGCCGGACTGAATATGCACTATGTATCCTTAGCGATTTTCACAATAAGATTAGCATCACATGATACACATAGATTTGCATCTATTCTTCTTGGCTGGCATTCTCGTCTTTGATCTCATTTCGATCCACATTATAGATGTGTAAGCACTGAAGGGAAAACACAAAAACAGCATGTAGAATAACTTGGATGAAACAGGCGGGGACGCCACTTTTAGATGAACAACTCGTGATTAGGCAGAGATTTCGTTCTCCCCACCACCCTCAGCCATGCAATTATGATCTCACTATTCAGCTATTTGAATATGGTGCTTTCTTGAGGATGTCTGCTCACGTAGCTCTTGTGAGTGGTCTGGTGAATGTTCTGGGAGATACTCAAGGCTGTATTGCTGCTGGAACAAAGTAGGTATGACCCATTCTGAGCTTTCTAAAAACAGAGAAGTGTGACTTAGCCACTGTACTCCCTGCTCGTGTACCCTCTGGACTGGGCTACTGAAATGTATTCCACCTGGGGCTGCCCTTGAAGATGCTGCGGGCATTTAAAGTGGTCCAAAATGGCAGATTGCTGGGTGGGGTTCCATTTAAAATTCACATAGCTGCAGCTTCATTGGTTGCCAGTTTGTTTACCAATTCAAAATGTTCCCGTTAGCAGTCAAAGCCCGAAATGACTTTGGCACAAAACATCTGACATATCATCTCCATCTCTTCTGATCTTCGTGGGTGTCAAGTTCTGCAGAAGGGTCTTTCTTGGTAGTTCCATCACTCCCAAACATCCAGGGAATGGTGGCCTGTGGTGGTCCCAAGTTGTGCCACTCCTATCCCAAAGCGCTGCGTCTTGCATCTTCACTGTACAGCTTTGGCTGAACGCTGAAGGTGTACCTTTTTACTCTGGCCTTTAACAATTTTATCTGTTTTTATAATGATGTATTCTATTGTAACTTGACCTGGGATCTTCTGGTAAAGGGCAGTAAAGAAATCTTATAAGGAAATAAAATGTGTCACACACACTAATATCCTGTCATAATCAAGCACAGTGTTCCCCAAACAGTGGACCTCCAGATGTTCCAACTCCCATCAGCCCACACCAGCATAGGCAATGGCCAGGGACGATGGCAGATGCAGTCTAGAAGGCCATAGGTTGAGAGAAGCCTGCTTTAGCATGACCAAGGAATGGAACCATAGGCTCCTCTATGGGGCTGAGGACAGCTCAGTCATCCCCCCAAGGATGTGGGGACAGGGCTGAGCCCTCCCCCAAACTTGAGGGGTCGGGCCCCACTGGGTCTCCCTTGCGGCCTCCTCCTGATGCCTGTGACATCACACCTGTTTGTCACACGTGCGACATTGCACACACATGACGAGTCCCACCCCCTAATTTGGGTGGAACTCGGCGCCTCTGAATGGAACCGAGCAAATGAAGAAATGGGAATGGTCATTTCAGGCCTGATTCCATGCTAGATGTCTCCTATTGAGGTCTATGGAAAAGAATGGGCAGCAATCTGGAACACAAAAGCAACATGGAGGGGAATCTGCCTGTGCCTCAGACCCTAGATTTGCCAATAGTAATGAGCAGGTTTAGCCTCCGCCCTGATAATGCCCAGATTTTAATCTCTCCCCCCCCCCCCATATATGTAAATGCATCACATTCTCTTCTTTGGGAAAGGTTCAGGGTGCCTAGAAGTATCATAAGAGCCTTTGTCAAATTCAAAATGTTTGTGCAGCAGTGTGCAAAGTTGCAGTCATTATTCTGATCAACTTTCCAGGCAAGCAATTTGTTATGGAGAGAGATAGAGGAAAACACGCCACCATCTCCAGTAGACTCATGTGAATTCATCCATAATATATCAAAGCAACCAGCAAGACATGTATTTACCAGTTCTGTACGGTTCCCAGTGTATTGTAGAGGTTAATGCAAAGTAGCAGGAGCAATTTTACCGATGTGCATGTATATATGTGTATATATACCAGTAAAATTGCTCCTTCTGCTTTGCATTAATATAGTATGTGCATCACTTTATATCTGTAGCAGTTGGAAGTAGCTCATCCTGCTTCAGATCCACTCTGCATCATTCTGATCCCATTTGTTATTTGGGTCTGAATCTGACCCGTTACATCCAGAGCTCTGGTTTGCCCCCATTAACTGTAATGTGGGAATCTCAAAAGCAACTATAATCACTTTTCCTTTTCACAGAAGTGAATGAAATTTGCAGACAAAGGAGCCCCTCCCGAGTGGATTACACCAGACATATTTTCTGGAATTTCCACAAAGTAATAATTTAAGTTTAATTTTTTAAAAAAGAAGGGAGGGAGGGAGGGTCTTGAATGTTTTTCTGGCAGAATTGGAAGCAAATTGCAGGCATAGCCACTTCTTCTGAGGGGATGAAGCCTATCAAATTTCAGAAAGAGAGCTGCAGTATTTCTCTGAAATGGGCAGATTTTAACATTCTGGTGTCAGAAAACAAAAATCCCATTCCCTCTCCTAGGTAACTTCCTGAAATTACTCTCTGTGAAGAAAAAAAGAGATCGTTCCATGATAGCTAACTGTTTGTTAGAAAAAAGAATGCTTTCAGAGAAAATAGGCAATCCCAAATTCCTACCCCACTGCTTACTCCCTTTTCTCACAGCCAAAACTTGGAAGAAAATGGGAAATCCTGTGTCTATTCAACCCCCACCCCCATCCCAAAAAATCACCGTGATTGGAGCCCACTGGGTTAATCGTTCACTGTGATTAAAAGCTAGACTTGTCCATCAAAATGAAATATTATCCACCCCTTCCCCGCTCCTCTACACCCTGTCACCTCTTGGGCTCTGAGCATTTCCCATTAGCTTGGTTTCATTTCTCAGAAAAGGAAAGAAAAAGAGGGGGGAACGAAACAGGTATGCATTTAACTTGAAAGGAAAACTAAGGCAACCGAACTACTCAGAAAGTTGGACACTCTCTGATCTGCCTTGACATTACTTGTTAGCAGTGCAATCTAACAGGATGACATGAAATAATACTCAGATCCACCTTGTTATTTAAGGTAAACAGAAAGTTTACACACACATACGCACACCTGATCACTCACTCAAGCATGCAACAACACACACAAATCATGAAGGCATGTTTCTTCAGGCAATCATGATGCAATAGCAAATGCACTAATACAGTATATATATATATATATAATCTCCACTGACCCCAGTCAGCCCCCATGACTCACGAGAGCTGCAATAAACCATATGTGTCTCGTTCTGCAATGAAAGCATCATCATCATTCCATGTGAGCCCCAAAACTAGGTTAATTCAGCAAGTGAATAAGCTTTCTTAACAGACACGTAGCAGGGTTCATTGACAGGGCAATGGGTGGAATGGAAAGTCTGAACAGTGATCTGTGCTGCGATTGGCTCATACACATAAACACTGCGGCGTACAGTGCAATTGGCGGCTTGGTTTCCAGTAGGCAAATAATCACTCTCAGACAACCTGATCTTCCAATTCAACATTTGGTTGTTAATTAAGTGTGCTGTACATGACCCTCCTGCAAGGATCAATTCTCCACTAACGGTAGTTGGAGCAGGGTTGTGCAAAATGAGAAACTGATGAAGATACTTTGCTGGTGCGCACACACACACTGGGTTTAGGGATTGCATCACTAATTTGTATTTCAAATGTTTAATAATAATAATAATAATAATAATAATAATAATAATAATAATAATTTATTTATACCCCGCCCATCTGGCTGGGTTTCCCCAGCCACTCTGGGTGGCTTCCAACAGAATATTAAAATACAATAACCTATTAAACATTAAAAGCTTCCCTAAACGCAGCTACCTTCAGATGTCGTCTAAAAGTCTGGTAGTTGTTTTTCTCTCTGACATCTGGTGGGAGTCTGTTCCACAAGGCAAGTATCACTGCTGAGAAGGCCCTCTGCCTGGTTCCCTGTAACTTGGCTTCTCGCAGTGAGGGAACCGCCAGAAGGCCCTTAGCGCTGGATCTCAGTGTCCGGGTAGAACGATGGGGGTGGAGACGCTCCTTCAGGTATCCTGGGCCGAGGCTGTTTAGGGCTTTAAAGGTCAGCACCAACACTTTGAATTGTGCTAGGAAACATACTGGGAGCCAGGTGGCTATCCAGTTAGTGGCTGAGGGGCAAAGCTTGATGGGCTCTGGTGGAAGCCATGCTAACGCTAACAGCAGAACGGTTCCCTGGCCCACTCCTGTGACTTAAAAAGCTGTCTTACAGCAGGTCAGAAATTACCTCCACCATCAGAGGCAGTATGCTAGGAGTCCCACTGATGGGCTTCTTTCATAGGCATCTGTTTGGCCACTGGGAGAATTGACTACATAGGTGTTCGGGTTGGTCCAGGCTCTTCTGAAATGATCTTGCTCTTCGGACCATCAAGCCCACTGCCATCTACAGTGGTCCTCCAGGATCTCGGAGAGAGGTCTTGGGAAGTAGGGGAGAATATTACCTAGTGTTATGTACTGCAGTTCTCACCCTGGGCCAGCAGGGGGATACTGTAGATAGTTTTCACTCAGGTCCACATATGCAAATAAGGGATTGAAAGTGACGTTCAGTGATTGGATAGTTACAGAAAATGGTTACAGTTGCATTGTACTGGAGCTCTATATAAGCAGGCTGGCTGAACCCTTCAGCTCAGTTCTGTTCTGGCCTGTGAATAAACAAGAGCTGTTTGAAGAATTGCTGTGTCGTCTGATATGTTCACCCACAGCTTAACACCTAGTACCCCTGATTTTTTATTTGCTGTGCCAGGGATTGGATCCGGGACCTTCTGCATGCAGAGCTTATGCTCTACAACTGAATTATCAGGTCCCTTCTACCTTGGATTCTACTGCAGGGTGAAGGGGTTGCAGAGAAAGGTGGGTATAGAGGCAGTCACCGCAGCTGGCATTGCTACAAATTACCTAGAGGTTTTACTCTGCATAAGCGGTATGTGCATTTAATCTGGTATACAAAACGTGTTGATGGACACTAGCTTAGATGGCACTGAAAACCACTGAATCACAGTGGAGTATCTACTAGAGTGGCTAATAGATAGATATCGGGTCCTCCCTTAAAAAGAGCACATATTGCGGTGGGACCTGGAAAACTGACACCCTGTGTTGTGGGTGGGTAAGATTGGTCAGCCACAACACCCGATTGGTAGGTCCCTCGAAGCTGGGAGCAATCTGGCCAATGGGATGCAGTCCAAATGGTTCGAGGGACCTGTTTACAGTATACCCATGCACGTGACCCAGAGCTTCCTCTTTTGGCGCGTGCATTCAGAACACCCGCCCACCTCTCCTTACTTTTAGGGCTTTGCGCTTGACCTTGCCATGCTGTCGTGTGTCATCTGTCGTTGGGACAGGGGCACGGCAGGAATTTCCCCCATTTGGCTGATTGGTCGTTGCCATTTTGGTTTCGCCTGCTGCATAGCAAATCGTCACAACTGGTAAGGTTGTGGATAGGCTCTGGTTCAGGTGATAGGGATGGGGGAACGCTCTCGCCATCCCTATGTGAAGGGTATTCCATTAAAGGAATCCAGGGACTCAATGGTTTGGTCAACCCCTGAGAGGGTTTTGTGCCCGTGCCTGAGTCCAGGGGGACATTTGGGTAGCAGAGATAGCCTGTTCCCAGCTTTCCACTTATCCAGGTGTTCATCCTTGGCTGACCTATGCTGGAACCCTCGGTCAGCGCTACCTGCGTGGCAGGGAGCTAGTCAAACCAGAGCCTATGCAACCAGTCACTTTCTGTAATCAATAAAGTTGTGGCCTAAATTCTGCCAAAAAACCAAAACCAAAATTTTGAGTCAAGAGTGAATTTATTTAGGGAGGAGGTCTCTGGGTCTGAACCAAAGATGATAGATAGATAGATGATAGATAGATAGATAGATGATAGATAGATAGATAGATGATAGATAGATAGATAGATGATAGATAGATAGATAGATAGATAGATAGATAGATAGAGATAGATATAGACAGACACTGTACAGGGGACTTAAGAGGCCACAAAAAAACTTTCGGCAGCACAGTGACATAACTATGGGAGCAGGCTATTAAAAAAACACCATATTTATTATTATTAATTTTAAACCCCAATAAAGCATCCAGTCCCCAACTATCATTGCAAGACACATTTTCCTAGCCAATGCTCTATGCTGCTGATGTACAGCGTAGTTTTTTTCCTAATTCATGGTAAGGGCGACCCTTTAGGTCTCAGCTTGACTCTACTCCTGTCTAATCATAATATGGACAGGTGGTTTTAAAAAAAAAAGTTCTCACCACGTTCCAAAAATGCATCTGTGATCATGAGGACTAGAAAATTGCAGGCTACAAGGACAAGCGTGGAGTGCTGGAATTCTATAAATCCTCAGCCAGGCATCCATACATGTATTTGCATAGCAAGGCCCCATGACCACCCTTTTCCCTAAGGTGCAAATAACTAGACAACACACGGCATATTGGTTTTGATCCATACATGTATTTCTCAGGAATTGGATACCAGTCTCCCCCACCCCAGATTATATCCATTACGGAGGACTCCAGCTCTGTAACTGCCACTAACATTCTAAACGCCGTCTCTGAATGAGCCAGCAGAATCTTTGCCGAACTCTCCATACGCTAATATGTTTCTAAATGATGTGCGATAAACACAAGTCTTGCCAGTTTGCCAGAAGCAGCGCTGCCACAGTGGGTAATGTAACCCACCCTGTAATCGACTGATCTCTGGTCTCTGACAGCTTTCTCTCTCGCTTTCTCTCTCTCTCTCTCTCTGAGGCAAGCCACGATTGCTCTCATTCCCCCGCTCTCGATTATGTATGCTGCATTTGGTATTCTGAGCCACGCTGCTCATAAGATGAGTGTCAGCCCTTCTTTAGAAAAGAAAAAGGAAGATGATGAAGAGGAAGAACCTGGGTTTCTGCTTCAGCACATTGTTTAAATTGGAAAACTAAAGTAACTCAACAGAACATGAAATTTACAACACCCCAAACAGCATGGTTTCAGTAAG